GTGGTGAATATATATTTAGTTATATAGGTGTTCACGTCAATGTGCACATGCGTATATATAAGATGGTTGATAAATATATAAAGATAGTGTTAATTAACACTAAATGATATTTTGTGGCTGTAAAATTTATATAAAATATATTATATATATCTAAACTATTAAAACAGAAGTACCATTAATTAACCCTAAGTTTTCCTTAATAATTACGTTTTATTGCCACTGGTCTAAAAGCTATCGTCTTATTTTTTCTAAACCATTTTAAATAACTAGTTACATATTCCCCGCGCAAGCGCAGAGCCGGGATCATTATGTTTGCGTGTATTTTTTTCGATTGTTGGTTTAGTGAATTCTTCTAATGACACCAATTAATAATGAAATGGCAAATTTCATGTTTTTATATCGTATGTCAAAACTTGATATAATTCTATATTTATAGTGTTTATATTTGTATTAAACGATTTATCAATATGAAAATAACCTTAATTAAGTTAATATTCGTTGTTTAAGTTTCATTAGATAGGTTTTTATATATGGTTTTTTGTAAGTTTCGGTTTTGTTCATAAATGATGTGGCATTTTTATCTACGGAGTCATCGACTCTGGGAATTCATTCGCCGAAGTCTGGAGTCGGTGGTGAGAAATGTTTTCAATGAAATTATAGTAGTTATTAAAATGTAAGAGAAATTACATATTCATTTAATAAACAACTTACTTAAATTTTGTTGTTTATTTTATTTTATTTTATTTCACATACAATTTTTTTTGAAAAATATTAGGAATGTGTTAAATGTTATTTATATGTGAGGTAAGGTTTATAGGAATAGTTAGGCTATAATATAGTTTTTAGTGTGTAAAAGTAGGTGTGTTTTTTTGTTGTAAATAGTTTTTATATCGTAGATCAAAACTTGATATAATTCTATATTTATAGTATTTATATTTGTATTAAACGATTTATCAATTTGAAAATAACCTTAATTAAGTTAATATTCATTGTTTAAGTTTCATTAGATAGGCTTTTATATATGGCTTTTTGTAAGTTTGAGTTTTGTTCATAAATGATGTGGCATTTTTATCTACGGCGTCATCGACTGTGGGAATCCATTCGCCGGAGTTTGGAATCGGTGGTGAGGAATGTTTTCAAGGAAATTATAGTAGTTATTAAAATGTAAGAGAAATTATATATTCATTTAATAAATAACGAAAATAATTAGTTTTTGTTGTTTTATTTTATTTTATCTCACATACAAATTTTTTGAAAATATATATTAGGAAATATGTGCAATGATTTAACTTTTTGAGCTCCTAATCTATATTATTCAACCCTCATTAAGCCATCCACGTATGCACCCGCGTGGAATTCACTTTTTGTTTTTTTGTTTTGTCTGTTCGTTTTTGAATTTATTTTTTATTATTTTTGGGTTGAGCTATATTATAATATGATAGTTTTAAGGTTCTTTAAGCCATCCGCGTAGGCAACCACGTGAGACTTGTTTTTTTGTTTTTTTGTTTTATTATTCGTTTTGGATTCATTTTTAACTATTTTGGGTTTGAACTTGTTAAGGTTTAGGATTTATGCAACTATTTTGATTTTTAAAACAATAAGCCAAAAAAAAAAAACATAAGAACTTTATAAACAAAAAGCCCATATGATAATAACCTAAATCAAAAAATCAAAAATACATGATAGCTGCGTGGTTTGAACCCACAATCTTACATACTTAATTAGACACCTTATACCACTTGGCTAAAGTGTAAAATCCTTTACAAAACTTATTTTCTTGAACCTCTTTTACTAATATCGTTCACGGCGTGTGTTCTATAGCTCAGTTCGACGTTTCACTTTGGTCCGAAAGTTTTAGTACAATAACTATTTTATTTTATTTTTGATTTTTCAAATTTATTTTTATTACTTTAATTTTTACTCAGAATAATAGATATCTTATAAGTGACGAAAAAATATCTTAAAACATCTCCAATAAAATATTTAGTTCTTGGGTTCTCAATATATATATATATATATATGTGTGTGTTAATATTAGTATTTAATAATAATAATAATATTTAATAATGAGGTTCTTAATTTTATAGCGAACTTTTGGGTTAAGTTTACCATAAAAATAGGTGTTTTGCCCGCATATGCGGGCTTAGTTATCTTTAATTGAATTTAAAAATTCATCAAAATAAATGATTATTTGCATCCAAAAAATTTGATCTAAAACATTAAATTTTTTTAAATGATAAAGTTATTCATAAATTAAAAAAAAACTATTTTTTCCTTTAAAACTTTGAAAAATCTAAAGTCTATTTGATTTCTTCTTAATTGATAAAAAATATATAAATCTATCTTTCAATTTGAAAAATTAAATCGATAAATATATATTAAAAAATTGATCTTACAGAGAGAACCTTATTAGTTTGGATAATAATACAATATATTTGAATTTATTTTTGTCAAACACGTATTTTCTTTATTTTTGAATGATTTTTTATTTTAATTTGAAAATAATTATGTATTATAATTTTTCAGTTTTCTTTTTAAAATTATAAACAATTCAAAATTTTACTTTATGAATATTTATTTATGTGTTTTTCTGTTTTTGAATTTTTTTATTAAAAGTATATTTTCCAGATAACAACATAATAAATATATGAATTATCTTTTTTATTTTAAATATATATTTAGATTTAGGATAATTATTATCATTATTATTATTAGTTTAAATCATTGATCTAATTAAATAAGTATTAAATTCGTTATTTTAGCTGATTTATATATTTTATTCATTAAGAGTATAACCGATATTAACCACTCCAACTTTTAACGTAAGAGCTCTGTTGCGAAAAATCACTTCGCAAATAATAGTATAGATTAAGAATCTCATTATTATATATTAATATTAATATTTATATATATATATACATACACATATATGTATTTTGTATACCGCTGAGTTAGAGCACCATTATCGCCGTACTTTAAGCGTTTCTTAGCTCAATTTTCATTAAAAAGAAAATCAAAAACACTTTATAATAGTAAAAACGTACCTTAATTAAGGGACACAAATAACGTTTCTTATGGACAGGTGTAGGCAAGTGAAGGAGAGAGAAGAGGTGGCTTCATCTTTCGTCGTCTGATTTTCTTTCGTGTCTT